TTTTTTGTCAGTACATAAAGAATTCAAATATCATATCTTTAAGAACAAACAAGTTTTAAGCCGGAAGAATTGACGACACTACCGAATTCGCTCAGAAAGATTAATTTACTCCGCTGTCATAGTCAAGATAAGAGGTAGAGAGTACAATAGTACTACACTTTTATAAAAGGATCATGACTAATGTAATTTAATGCCTGCATTAAATAGATAAATACAAATATAAATATTTTGGATGTATCAAAGATTACTTTTAAACATACAAAAAAAAATTATTGTATTTTATGGTTTTGGCCGCCAAGCTATATTATGAGGTAATTCAAATTTTATTATTATTTGTTATATATAGTGTTATCTGCGAATTTTATACACACTGGTATGTAAACATTTGAATGTCAAAATGATAGTAGTACTTACTTACACTATATGAGTCTGTTGTGATTTTCAAGCCGCTAGAAGAAACAAACAATATTTAAGTCTTCAACATAATAAAAATATCGGATATATATATATAAAACATCCTTAAGTACAATAACAGTGCAAGTAGGTTAGTTTAGGTTAAGATGGTTGTGAGCAGGGGGAAAAGAACACCCATAGGAACCATGAATCATGATGGGAACACCGAAAGGCACCATGAATTATGACTGAATCTGTTTTGTTGCTAGGAGAATTGTTGGAGATCGAGCCAAGGACTATTTGTTCAACTATTAGTGTTGGTAATAGAGAAAGTGCGTCCGTGATTGCACTCAGGTAACGTGACACTGCTCCTGAAATAGTGGTTAAAAACTAGATGCTCTGAGTAGACCATTCCGCCGAAATGTGAAAATATATATATACTGATTTATCCCAGTCGATATTTGTGTGACGTTTGGAATGGCCGTTATTAACTTTATTCGATCGACTTAAAACCATAACCATAAGAACTAAAAAGCTGTAATTTTCGCAGTAGTAGTAGTTTCACTGAAGAAAGTAAAGTAAACCTCGATTTTTAAAAAATTCTATTTATAAGCTAGAGAGTAGTGCGATGCTAATAATTGTTTGAAAAAAAAGTATCAGCATAAGAAATATCAACCACACACTGACTTGAAAGATATTTTGGCAATTCAAAATGTCTCTGATACAAAATATCATCTTTTGGACGATAGTCCCTATACAGCCATATGACATAGTGGAGCTAATTCAGCCGCCCTTATGGGGTCAAAGATGTCTCATTCAATGAGCGCAACGTCAGCAATTCATTCATCAAAACGATTTGCATAGAGGACAGATAACTAAGGTATCAGAATAAAATATTTATTTCCAATAGAGGAAAACCAAGTCTGAGCAAGACGCCTCTGCCGTGTTCATCTGTTCGTAATCTTATGAGGAATTTGGCAAAGATTGTATCCCAAATCTAAAGCTTGATGCAGCTTTTGCTTTGCTAGAATTCGTTATTGTGTTAAAACAGAACAATCAACTTATAACAATTCCAGCTGATCCTAAGAGAGAAAGTTAAAACATATTATTCACACAAACTCCACATTTATACACATTTCCATACGGTGGAAAGACCGAGATATAGTATAATATATTAACCCCAAGGGCGGTAAACTATCCAAACAGTATGAACTCTACTCATAAACTTCCTTTTAATTCAGTTTTATTGACCCAAGTGCCATGTTTTCATAAAATCTTAAGGTCATTTCTTTAAAGATCGAATTAATTTGAAGCACATATTTATATATAAAATGAATATCAACTAACTTAGAAATTCCGCACATAACTGTGATATTTTATGATTAGTAAAATTTGTTCGGCACGACAGATGATTAACAGTAGAGCCTTTGCTAGATACTAAAAAAGGAACAGCCTTCTCATTCCACATTTAGGAATATGTTACATATATGTAAGTAATTTCTTATATGTATGCACATTTAAATGACTATAAATACTTGAGTGTATCAAAATGCATACATATATGCATATCTACATGCACCATATATATAAATATGTATGTTTATAAATATGCACAAAAACATTCATTTTGGCAAACAAACAAATGTACGCACGATTTAATATTTATTCAGAATGCAAAACCGTAATATACGAACTTTGAAAGCATATTTTTACCTGGAACATTTAACACTATATTTAAGATTGTGACGTTCTCCACAAGTAAACAATTTTATAATTTATTTAACGGCAAAACAATCGCTTGAGCAAAACACAATCAATACAATAATTTTTGGGGTGGCTATTAGAGATGTTGACATTCTATCGATATATCGATAAGTGACAACATAGTAACTATATTTTTGAAAAGTAATCTTGAAATTATTTTGTTCTCTACATCAAACCGACTACAAAGGTATACTACGTTTGCTGCTACCCAAGGTATTTAATAATGATAATACATAATAATAATTCTTAACGAAATCGCAAAACATTTTTTTTTATATTCTCATGTTGATCTAAGTTCTATCAGCAGCTGCCAGCATTTTCTGTGTGCATCAATATGCGAGCGCATTTGTGAGAAAGCGATGGCTTGATAATCGTCGCGAGCATCAATATGTTTTTGTGTGTATGCTGCAGAGCCCCGTTACGATTGTGTACGTATATTTGTATGTATGTATGTATGTATAAATATTCACGTGTTTGGCTGCAGCAGGCACTTGCAGAGCAGCTCGCATTTTGGTGATAAACTTCTTAAAGGCAAATTTCACAATAAAACTAGAATAAATGTACAACTGGGTTCCGCGTATATCGTTGTCGAGCTCACTCGACTACAGCACTCTTAGTTGTTTATCTCCGCCTACAAATGCCACAGCTACATGGAAGTTACCTTATCCCCTTGCTGTTCAAAGCACAAAAACTACCTCCAAAATGTTGAACGCAACATGCATATTGATGTTCCGTTCGCACGATATCACGATATCTAACCCCAAGAAATAAACGACAGTAATGTCAACCACTCTGTCAGCAAAGAAATGTCGCCATATGTACATCCGTCTGGATTCGTAACTTAATGCTGAACCAAGATGGATTGAAGGCTTAGTGTCAATACAATTTGGACAATTGATCGAGACTCGAATGATCCACAGCCAGAATTGGTCTTGACTCCACTCATGGATATCACCAATATTATTTTCGTTTGGAAGAACCATTAAAATTCAGTTGAAGAATAAAATATTTTGGCGTTGTCTTAGACAGAAAGTTTGACGAAACTGTAACTGTAAATACAATCAAGATGGAATGTTCCCCAAAAATAATCTGATGGTTATATGTCATCATTCGACTGATCGTTGTATATAAACCATCTCTCTGGTTGCGATGACTTAACAAAGACTTATGTTTTAAAATATTCAGAAAACCAAACTGCAAGGGTGAACTCTGCATCACAATCTGCCCAATACCGCAGGCAACTTTTCCAACTTGTGGGAAGACACGCTGCCACTTTTACAGCACTGAGAATTCTTATTTCGTCCACAACTTCGACGTGTTAAACAATTTAAGATGTCAAAGTCCGTTAGGTAGCACAAGAGCCAAGCATGTACCAAGTATTTCAGTGGGAGGTTCTTCCTTTCTCTGTCGACAATCGACCTAGTTTAACAGACGGCTTGTTTGCCTTAGGCATATTATAATTTTACTCAATTTACATGTTTATCGATAAGAAACGACTGTGGACTAGCAAGCCGTGGACTACATACCTTATTAGACTGGAGTTAATCTGCTGATAGCACAATTAAAGTCCGAGTTCAAAATATTATTGTATATTTGTACGTTTTAAAAATTTGTATCAATCCTATTCTTGAATATGGATCTTGTATATGGTTCATCAGGAAAACATAGAATTTGTATAAAAACTACTTCTGATATTTGCCACTTACATACTTATCGTAGTAGATTTTAACTAATAAATCTTCCCCTTTCTTGTCATCGTAGTAGCTTTCATTTTGCCTGAATACGCGCTTTAACCAGCGCATGCTTGGTATTCTTGGACCACTTGAATGTCCTGTCAATACTTAACGTCCAAATAACCTCCAAATCGAACATTCTTGAGAAGAGAAGAAAATATTTAGGGGTGCCTTGCATTCTTACAATGTCTTGAGAATATTACCAGTAATGTATCTAAGAGTCGATATTTAAAGAATACAAACAGCAACATACCATCTAAACCTGGTGATCAAAATGGGGAGAAATGTATATGATTAATCGAGTGACATTACCGAGATGTTATCGATTTCTCAGTCAACCGCTGGGCGCCTCAAAAATTTTGAGTCTGTCTGATGCGAAATAAGCTTTATTTCTGCTTGTCAAGCACAGGAATCTATATGAGGCGTTGTTCATTTGTATTTCTTCTCTCTATCTTGTCCAACTTTCCAAAGGTCTAGCTTTGTGGTCACTTATTTCATCAAATGAAGCTGGTCATGGATAACTGGATTTAATTTTCAGTAAGTTTGTTATAAAGAACCGTACTTCTTTATACTTAATTTACACTTCCGTGTAAAAGCAGCAGAAAAGCCAATTTATTTAAATTAATTCGGTTTGCCGAAATAGCATCAAAGCAACAGCTAATCTCGAAATTTCGTCAGGCCCACGAAGAAGTTTAGAGATAACATGAGCTTTCAGTATTATTTTGCTTATGGCTTAAATGTGTCCTGCGATATATGGAAGTAATAGGCATTTATTAAAATGATATTGACCTGTGATTTTTATATTATTTTATCTGCAGCATAGCTTTATTAAACGATTACATACACCTAATATTAATTTGCACATAATTATTTATGTATACAAATTTGTAAATTACTTTACAACTTTTTGAATGAAAATTTAAATTATTAGCATCATTTATATTGAAGGAGTAGGTTTACCAAAATCTTTGAGATTCGTTTTTAATTACATTAACATATAGCTCCTTTGCATCCATTTTTAATTCCATAGCAAAATGTATCTGTCGCAGAACCATGATTTCTACTTCTTTTTTATATATGAGCATGGACATCAAATTGTTATTCAACCTTCGTTGATTTGTATTGAAAAGGTAATAAACACATTTCCCTTGTCTCTCAAATATCAAATTTATTTTCATTTGCAAATAAAAGTTAAAATAATGAGGAGCTTTTGTTTTAACGCCTTACCAAAGGCTCACATATATGTGAGAAATAAATACGGCATATTCGGTAAGTTAAATTCTTAGTTAGGTAAATCCAAATACATGCATCTATACATTTATGTAAATTTGATGCTCCGAATTAAAACTGGCTTTTGTTAATCTTAGGAACCAATTGTATGAAAGCGTATTCTACAAGTTTAGAACCGAAGGAACCACTTGTGCGTACACAGACAATACCCGGTCCAAAATCAGCTGAGCTGAAGGCACAATTGAACGCAGTTCAGGTAAATTTGTATACTTTGCTAAATTCGTAAGTATCGAGGAATATTTCATTAAAATAATGGCAACGTGTGTAAAATGGGAGCCAACCAATCATTGTGTATGATAAACATTAGTAATCCAAATATACAAAGTTAGGAGTTATAACAAATGCAAGCACTTTAGGTCAAGTGTCCAATATTTTTATTGTGTAATTTTAATGACTTAAAATGCAACGCTGAAACTGACTGCACGCCAATTTTATGGCAAAATGTGTGGGTTTTTTCAGCGGTAAGCCAATGGCAAAGCGACTATTTTTGGTGCTACCATTAGAAAAGGTAAAATTGCATGCATTTGGAACACCATCGTTGTTCAACTACGGCTTAAAAAATTAAATAGCCATTTTCATACTAACACGCAGAAGACAGGTAGGAGGAAGTTCCAGAAAATTATTTTCTGTGATGCTTTAGAATTATTTTGCCATAATACAAACTATCTGCAATTTTAGTTGAGTTAAATTTCTTAAGGCAACAATTTTTTAAGTAATCGCTTGTGCGATATATCGTTTAGCTCTGTGCAGACAGATAGAGGAACGATAATAATGTATGGAACACGTTGGAACGTCTTTTTTATGATATAAAGAAAATGCAATTAATATAAACTAATAAATTAAAAATAATTTAAATTTATATGCATTTCTTCTTTTACCTATCGCAATCCCGATTTTCCGTTTAATTTTATCGGTCACAGCTTAAGTTTGAGTAAATATCCATAACGTTATCTTATTTAAATATTTTACAGAGTACTGGAACTGTACAATTTTTTGCCGATTATGAAAAATCTTCAGGAAACTATATTTGTGATGTGGATGGGAATGTTTTACTTGACGTTTATACCCAAATTTCATCAGTTCCGCTGGGTTACAATCATCCTAGGCTCCTTAACGTTTTCAAGGATGATAAAAACTTGAAAAGTAAGTCTTGAAATTTTTTTTTAACTTACTAAACCAAAGAATTATACTAAACTCTCAAGTCATTTCAAGAAATATGGGGAGTTTTTGTGAAATTTTAGCTGATACTGGTGGTATAACACAAACATTTTTATATGTTATAAAAGAAAAGAAATTGCAACTAAATTAATTTCTTAGATAACATATTTATCTATCATATACATCTATCAATGACGGCGCCTCAAAGCGATCAGCAAATAGTCGATATTCTTAGTAATATTAATTAATTATTTATATTTAAGACCATATATTTAATATTTTGTTAGGAAATTATATGCATAAATTTTGTAAATATAAATGTTAACGTTTCATTATTTGCAGTTTATTTATATAAATTTTGAATTCTGAACTCTTACGAAGTTATATTGTTCGACTAACCAGCATTTCAAACAATCGTGCGAGGTCATTGTGGCCATATGCCATCTGGCAGACAAAGTGTCGCCGTTTATTTACTTTGACTTTGAACAAATTTGGGGAGGAATCGTATTTGAATTAACTTGATGGTCAAGTCAGTATAGGCTTCGGCAATTAACTAAGTAATCTACTCTACGGGTCCGAATTTTTAACTTGCGCACGAGTTCACGTAATAAATTTGTAAGCATATGTATATATATATATATTTTTTTTTTTACATATGTATATATTAATTTACAAACCTAACATCTTTTACTTATTTTTTTAGCTCTGATCAATAGACCGGCACTTGGTGTTTTTCCTGGAAAAGAATGGCCCGAAAAGCTAACTTCTATTTTAATGAATATTGCCCCAAAAGGATTGAATAAAATCACGACAATGATGTGTGGCTCATGCTCAAACGAAAATGCTTTTAAGAGCATTTTCATTTGGTATGTATGCTTGAATTCATGCCTAATAATTGTATAGTACTGAATAATCTAAGTTCTAATAAAATGTCATCAAGTCAAACGGAGAATAAGGTAGCAAAAAGGGGACAAATCTCACATAGCTACGTATATCTTTATTGTGCTCAAGCTCAACTGTAGGCCTACCTCACACTAACCTTTCCAATCAATCCCAATCGGACAATTGACCACAAAGTCCTTCCGGACAGTTAAACAGCTACTGTGTGTTTAGGACCCGTCTGAACCGTGCTTTTGACTGATACTTTTACAGTTGGTACTATGTCCCCGCATTTGTTGTGGTCCTGAACTGTGGTTTATCTGCTGTTACTAGATTGTTTTCGTCCGTAGATCCCTGAGGTTTAGATATCCACTTACTAAACTTGTTTATTTTTTGACTATTTATATTTATTTATATATTCTGTATATTAATATTAATTATTTTTCAGGTATCAAAATAAAATGCGAGGAAATACTGAATTTACTGCAGATGAAATGAACTCTTGTATGATCAACATGCCACCAGGCGCCCCGAACCTTAGTATCCTCTCTTTTAAAGGTGCTTTTCACGGCCGCACACTGGGTGCACTCGCGACGACTCACTCAAAATATGTTCATAAAATTGACGTTCCATCTTTCGACTGGCCTATTGCATCGTTTCCCCAATACAAGTATCCATTGGAAGAGAATGTAGCGGAAAATAAAAAAGAAGACGAAAAGTGCTTGAGTGAAGTACAAAGCTTAATCGAGCTTTATAAAAAGAAAGATAGACCAGTGGCTGGAGTCATCATAGAGCCGATACAGAGCGAGGGAGGTGACAATGAAGCCTCGCCTGAATTTTTTAGAGCTTTACAAAATATTTGTAAGAAAAACGGTGCTGCACTTTTGATTGATGAAGTTCAAACTGGAGGAGGAAGTACTGGAAAGTTTTGGTGTCACGAACACTTTAACCTTGAACATTCTCCTGATGTCGTTACGTTTAGTAAAAAATTGCAACTTGGAGGATATTTCCATAGTGATGAATTCGCATCGAAACTACCTTATCGAGTTTTTAACACTTGGATGGGTGACCCAGGAAAAATAATTCTCTTGGAAGAAATATTAAAAGTTATTAAGGATGAGCATCTAATGGCAAATGTTGATGCTGCTGGAAAAGTTTTGAAACAGGGCTTGTTAAGCTTGGAAAATGAGTTCCCCAATCTATTGAATTCCACTCGCGGACGTGGAACATTCTTAGCAGTAAACTGTGCTAACACTAAAGTGAGGGATTCTATAGTCACCTCATTAAGGCAGAACGGTGTTCAAACAGGTGGTTGTGGAGAAATCGCGATTCGCTTCCGCCCAGCTCTAATATTCAAAGAAACCCATGCCAATATCGTTTTGGATCGATTTAGAAATGTTCTGCGACAAATGTAGATTTTTATAATATAAACAAATGTGCTCTGAATAAATATTTTAAACTATCTTTCTCTTCAATTTGTTTAAGTATAAACTTGTTTATTTTTATAGTGGTCCTCTAGTCGTAGTCTCCGTGGACCCTTTTTAGGAAAGTGTTAGACTTTTGATACCGAGTTGATGATATTCGCCTGGAGAAATTGGATTTTCTGTCGGTTTCTGTGGAAATGAGAAACTTTTTGCTGCAGTTACCTAATAATGTTGGTGTTCACTGTTTAGCATCTCTCATGCGAATTGCTGAAAGAGCTGCGGCATATTTCCCACTAATTAAAAAGGGAGTATATGAAGAATGTGTCCCTAAGGCCATGTGCTTTAATGTAGTTATTTTAAATTGTATAATAAGTGCATATGACAACCAAAGTATATCTTGTATATTGCTTACAAATATACATGTTTAAATAAACGATTTTTTTGTACTTATTTTCTCTAATATAATCGTAAGTATTGAGCACGTCTAGAAGCTTACAATTTCTGCAGTATAATTTCTACGTTCGAATACCTTCCTTTTTCTAATGTATCTTGAAAAATATTATCAGAAGATGTCGCCAACCATTATATATATATGTACAGTTTTATTTTTGAAATTATTTTTTGCTTTTTGGCCTTCCTCTGACATATGTACATAAGTATTGGAAAATATTAGAATCCACTGCATTCCTCAGATGATTCTGCGAAATCCTCTTATACCAATGTACTACGAACTAAAACATGGCAATGACCAATGAAAGAGTTTCCTAGTAATTTACCTTCAAAGTTTGGTAACTTTAAGTCTTAAATTGAAGATGTAGTTTTTGAGAATTTTGGGGCTGAAGTTCGAACCATTTTTTTTAATAGTGTTAATATACACGAGTGTATATGTATACTCTATCTCAAATTTCGGAACTATGGTATTCAAATAGCGTGATATATATTGTTTTATCGATTTACACCATCAGATAATCTATTTTTGTCGGAGTCGTAGTTAATATCTCATTTTTTATCGATCTTTAAGGGCAGCAACCGGTAACACACTAACAAAATTTGCTAAATCTAATTTAAAAAGTAAGGTAGTTACACGTATTTCAGATGTTTAGCGGCGGAGTGGGCATGGTCCGATCTTTGAAGGGAGTCGCCAGCAATCTACGCATCAAGTTTGGTGAATATATCTCTTATTTGTGGGAGATATGCGAATTTATCGATTTACACTTTTAAAAATATCGATTTTTGATTATGGAATTATTATTATATCTTCAGTATAAAAATAACCCAGGTACCTTCTCAAAGTGTATTGAGTGGTGGTTATAAGTTTTCCTTTGCCTTCAGGGGTTGAACCCTCTTCCATGGATTTAGTGGGTCTACCCCCGGCAAGGTCTGAAGACGTGTGGGGCTATTGTGATAATATTTTAAACAAGAATTTTTAATTAGCTGCATTCTTTTTAAGTTTCGCTTTGTACGATCAGCGCCTTACTGCGACCGAAGCAATAAATAAATGTTTACTTAACAGGAGACAGTAATCATTTGGCATAGACGATTTGAGGTATATATTACCTGCACCTATGTCTTCCCAAGAGCTTTTAATGTCAACTGTATATTATCGATTTTTTAAACAGGTTACAAATTATTGTATTCCCCTTATAGCACCTTAACCGATTTTTGCGATCTGCGCTTGAATTTCTTTTACACCGCATACCGTCAAAATGTTTGGGAATTCGTATTTTGACTATTTATTTTCTATAATTTTATACCGAAGGTCTCATAGTATATTGATTTTGTGCAATGTCCGCCAGGCTGTCTGTTCGTCCGTATGAACGCAACTTTTTTCGACACCCTTGGAGATAAAGACTTGAACCTTGGAACATATAGTGGTTTGTGCATGCGTCAGACAAAGTGTAAAAGTTGGAGCGCTACGTCCACTAGGGGGCTAGGAAATCGATAAAATTGACAAAGCCACATATCTCCCACAATTATAAGCCTACAGTCAACAAATATTGCTGTCAATATTGTAAGCTATATTCTTGGTAGCCACCTTTAAGTGCAGATAATACTTTTTTTGGTCTGGCCCTTACCTGCGCCCATAATCGCTAAGCCGATATTTCGGAAAGTGTAGGTCGGTAAACCCGCATATCTCTCACAATTTTAAAGATAGAGTGACCAAACTTGGAAGCTAACTTGCTGGTAGCATCCCCAAAGGGTCGGTATATCTATTTTTAGACCACGCACACTCCTGGCTCCCCCAGAAAGATATAAAAAATTGGATGGCCACACCCACTCCGCCTCCCCAAACCGATACACCTCTTTGTGTAAATCGATAAAACTATACATCTCTCACAATTTGCAAGCTAGTCACCAAATTTGAATGGTATATTTCTGGTAACACCCTTAAAGAACCCGTAAAAAAACCACTCCCACTTCTGCCCCCAAATTTCTAAAAGCCCAAATTTAAGAGCTACTCAACTTGGTAGAAAGGTTAGAAAACACTTCCATCAATTTTTTCGGCCACACACACTCCCGCCCCTAAAATTCACAATATCTACCGAAATTTGGAAGGCAAGCTTGTACGGTATTTCTTCGCTACACCACCTAGAGGTGAAATTACTTATGGGATCACAGTATTTCCTGACTACCTGCATAATTATTTACCCGACAGCAATGTTCTCTCTTATTTGTTAGTTATAAAGTTGGGAAAAGGGTTGAAGTATATTCATTTTGGTAGTCAAGTAGTTTTATTACAAATTTACCTACTTTTCAATAGAGGCTATGAAAACAGTGATTGATAGAGCGATAGATGACCTCAAAAGCATCCTCAAAATAGGCATTTTCATTCTGAAAAATATTGCATGATAGACAAGGGTACATTTGAAGCACCCGAATTAATTAAGTTAAAGACTACGCTTTTTTCCTTATTTTTTTTTTGTTTCTATGAAAGCTATGGAATGGATTACACTGATGCTGATAATCTTTTGCCAAAAAGTTCGACATTTATAAGCTTCGTGAAAATTAATTTTGTTCGGGATATCAACCAATTTTTCATATACAATATAAGAGATAATACCCGATCGCTTCTATCTATGTCCTGATTGCACACATAATTGTGGGGTCGCAGGCGCCTTCTTTAACAGGTTACACACTTCACGACAAAATTGTCGTATCACAACTCATTAACAGCAACACTAATAAGAGCAATAACATTAAGTAGTTCGTAAGAGTAATAAAGATGAGACGAACAACTGAATAAGAGTTACGGGCCGATCTAATGCGAATTAGATGCGCATTAATAAATACCCATTTTATTGACTGTGAGTTAGAAGGACACAATTTCTGAATCATGATTCAAATCTGAAAACAGGATCAACTGATTGCATTACTAATTGGTTAAGATTCGAAAATAGTATTTATGCAATACTTATGCATCGAACTTTATTAAATTATAGGATTAAGCCCTTAACTACTTTTTGTTCAAATATATATGCCAGGCTCTTTTTTAAAAATTTATTCTAGGTCATCGATAGCTGCCGAGCTTTCCAAAATGTTTGGCGTGCTATCAACTTGGCCCGGACGTGATCCCTGACCAGCCAATCCATCGCTTGATTCTGTAGCCCGATTGCCGAATTCTTGCATTTTTATAATTAACATGGCGAACACCTGAGCCGGTAACGACGATTGTAGCACTTGCAGCAGACGTGCTGGTTGTCCGCAAACGACAATTGCATTTGCTAAATGCTCCACACCACTTTCGAAATCGCCGCGAGCTATCAAGGTTTCGCCTAGCTGAATTTCTTGAAGGAAATATCTGTAACGAAATAAATGTATTCAGGAATTTCTGTTAGATTTATAATTAAATTAGGGCTTTTAAAGAAATCTCATGCATACCATAAAATTCAATATTTTACGCCGTACATTTCCATGCAAAAATCGCTTGAACATTGAGTGGTTGATGATGAGACTTCTATATATCAATATTACCTACTGATACGATTATAAATTGTAGGCCTGGCGGTAGAACTAAACTGTGATATTCGACAAAGTACACAGATTACCCGCCAAAGTATTTAATCTTAAGCAATTGAATATACCAGACATTCATTGCGGTGTTTGGAAAAAAAAACTAACTCCAGAATGCGGCGAGTATATTTTACTAACCATTTTCTAAAATTGGAATTGGTGAGTTTAGGGCAAATTTTAGAACAAAAAAAAAGATTTATTTATATATACATCAATCGTTCTCGTAGCAATTACTCTTACAGAGTTCTTTAGGATATAACTTAGGAGATGATTCTATCTGTTTGGTATCTTGGTACAGACAAGTTTGAACTTTTATTTTCTAAGTATTTTAAGACGCTTGTATTTCTATTATTATTATTATTTTTCTATCTTTATTTATCCTAGGGATGCATGTTTTGAGCTCCAAAGCGAAGAAACTCTCAACCCAACAAAGATTCTTGTATGCTATAAGCTCAGAAGCGGGCACAATAGATCCAGCAGGTCGCAGTGCATATATTCCAAGAACAATAATAATAAAATCTTAATTTATTCAGTTTTATACCCATCTATCCTATTGTCAGCCTATTTGATCACATGTAAATGTCCTGCTCACATCTAAATTTTATTATGATTAATAATAACTGAGTGATTGTCAAGAAGAATTTCGAACAACTTAGACAAGAATATCGAACAACTTAGACAAATGTTGCCATCTTCTTGTCAACTCTAATAATAACAATGAAAATAATAGTTCCTGGCAACCCAATAAAACTGCGAATAAATATGTAAATATTCAAACCAAAGTTAAAGTTAATACGATTTTAGATTAGTTCATATACTAAAGTCAGATTGTTGATATTATTTAGTTCAATATGAAAATAATCTGTGATTCTTATCCGATATTAATAAAATTTTAAAGAGCAATATCATATTGGGGTTTAAAATCTCTAACTCTAATAGTCTCTGAGATCAGTTTGTTTAGACAGACAGATTAAGAGACATAATGTCACATCAATTCAAAAGAACACGTCCTGATTATAATTAGCGGAACATTATGGGTACGGGGGATTTTTTTTTATTTGTTTTCAAAAAACAAAAGGCTTCTGCCATGCCAAACATGTAGATGCAAATGCACATGTACTCGTTTATATATGTACATATGTACAAATGTACATATGTATTAATGTTCAGTCGTTATATTATATTGGAAGCAATTGCTCTTGAGAATCCGTGTTGCGCACACAATACACATACACGCATACAATTACACACACATGTATTGTATACACATACAAACACATGTGGATGAGCTCATGCACGTGCATCCTTTATTATGTAATATGTGCGTTCAATATTTACCTTTCGATAGCTTCGTGGTCATTTAAGTTCGGCATTCCTTGCTTGGCTGATCCAGTTTTACGGTTGCGCCGGCGTCCTATATTTACATTATTAAATACACAGTATATGTAATATATGCAATTAACAAAACAAAGTGAATGTTTTGCTATACAATTAACTTACGCTCGCGAACCTTTTTCTTGTAGTCTGGCTCATTCCGACGTTTACTATCAAAATAAATGCAATATCCTATAAACAATGTGCCAGCCAGCCCCGCTGCAATTCCAATTGCAGTTTTGTTTATCTCAATCATATTTCGCAGCAACTTTTTCAACTCATGAACACGCAAGTGCTGCCTGCCTATCGATGTCACCAACGATATTGTCAACAACTTTGCATTTAATAGAAATATCGATACTTCCGATAGGTAAAAAATTTGTCCACATATTCGATTTTATACTGCGCTCTATTAGAAACGTCGAAATCGGAACATAATATTACAATTGGAGAAATAAGCTGATTGTGATATATAAATAAAGAGATATGATAATAAATAATAATGATAATAAAATCAATATGAAATCAGTTTTGAATTTGAAGTTTTATTCTAATTATAAATTGGCGTAATTAAATTTAAATGCAGGGTTTCTTACCTAAAGTATATCGAAAAGCAAATAAATTTTTTATTAAGGTGTACATTGTGTAAAGAGGGGTGGCAGGTAGGAGACTTGGCTCGATTATTGAAAATGCTGACTCCACCACAAAGAGTAAATGAGCTGATTATTAAAAAAAAAATGTCGAAGATATGAGATTGGGGGCTATAGATACTCTCTTTAAAATGTTGATAGATATATGATAATATCGCTCTAATCTATTACCCAATTCAAATAATTTTTCTAACACGGAAATAGACGAGTAAATATTCAAATTACAAGTCTCTAATTTCAGCGGAGTCGAACAAAGTTGTGTCCATTCTGACGGACGGATAGCATAACAGACATTACACCCCATTACGAATGCGTAATGTAAAAAAACCATAAGTACTATATATTTTGGAAATGTAGTAATAAATACATATTCAAAATACACAAAGCTTACTACATATACAATTTTATGACTTATTTTAGGATAACACAGTGTATATACATAATATGCGATCAACCATTTGTTGGATGTGTGGATGTTGACTGGCATTCTGTGAAAAATTAAGTTCTATCTTACTTAATCCAAAGCGTTTCTGGCTTGATCAGATTGCCTCTCAGCGCAGATTTACAAAATATATATCTCATATATCATCATCACTCTATCAATGTATCAAGATAATAAAAATGCCTAACCAATATATTATGCTGTTTTCTTCTGGGTTAGAACTTCACCCTCCTATAAATATCATCCGAGACTCGATCGAGTTTTGCACTTCCAAATCGTGTTATAGCCGGCGTGACTTCTTCAAAAATGCAAGAAAGCAGTGCATCGTGCCATTTAAGTTAATAATTATTCTTTCTTATGACATTTTTAAAATTTAACCAGCAGCATGAGTCTCGTCTGGGAGCTGTTCTCCGAGGCCTTCGCCGAGTAGTCGAAATAAGATCAAGATCAATTATTTTATGCTTATGGTTATGGAAGATGTCCGAGAGAAAATACTAGAAACAGTGAATAAGAAACGTATTTATTGATGCCAACTAAATTGAAATAATTATATTGAACAGAGGACTCACACCCGGCATCCGTTTAAAAATATCCTTGCACTCAAATTATTCGAATTATATTTAAAATCAGAGGAATAAGTACTCCACGTTATTCAAACTGATGGATTCATTTACCAATACATTTTTAATTAAATTCATATGGTGGAATGACTTATCAGGTAACCGTCGTATATTAATTCGGGTAAGCCAACGACTTCTCAAGCAACCCTTGTTTATGCATAAGGTTAAGGGCTTATACGAAAATGATACGTCCTGTGGAATGATATAAATGAGAGCTAGAGGTAGTGTGTGAGCAGAATAGACCACTGAAAGAATGTTACTTTGAAACTGAAATTTATTGCGCCAGAACAGACGTGTGTGTGTTGATCACTGTGCGGAAAAAGTGTAAGCTAAAGAATCGTACGGATATCGAATAACAGTGATCACGTACGAAAAGGTACTTATGCTAAAAAGTGAAAAAATCCAAATTTTGTAATGGGTATTTAGTAAGGTATATATATATATATATTTATTTATATAATTAGCTTACATTTGTAAGTTTTTTTTTATCAAGAAAACCATTATACGTTACCTTGCTGATCATAAACGAAACTCGACTAGCTGTTTATACAATTCACACAGACTAATCCATCTGTCAATCGGCTGCTGTCGAACATTTTGCAAGCGGTATAGCATTTTTTTTTGTGTAGCTGAAAACTAAAACAAAAATTATGTTATTGCTGCTAATTGGTTTATTTATCTACTACAATTTTCTTAAGTTTTTTAGTATATATATTACAAAAATATTTGCGCATAGGAACAGATTTGCACAAATTCGACAAGAAAATTGGCGAAAATTCCACAAGAGTGCTGTTATGTCGGAGCACCTGCCAGATGCCCTGCCAGAGAGACATGGCAACGCTCCCGCCGGAGCCCGTTTCTTCATGTGTAAGCACATAAACTGGGATTTCTGGCAACATTGCGGCGAACAAATTTAAATGAACCGCCTGAGGCGCCAATTTGTCTGCATCAGAAAATACATCATCAAATAAGAAAGTGCTTGTGTTTTGAAACTTGGCTAAATGGCTCCTCAGGTACATTACATACAGCTCTCATAAACTGACAATTTCTCTACAATGAAACTTGACTAACGGTTAACCCATATTTAACATAACTAATATTTCCCAATGCTTAGGTGATTAATGGGAAATAAAATTCATCAAATTTTTAATTTCGTGAATACAATGGGAACCCGTCTTATACACATCACACAATATTTATAGCAGTATATTATGCTACTGATTCTATGTGTAAAAGGCAAAATCAGAAAAATTGAAATGACTAATAAAAATAATTTTACCTGATGCCAAGAATTAATTTAAATTATAATTTATTCGATTTAATTTCAAAAAGACTTAATTGAACTTAGTGGAATATAATCCAAAAGCACAAAAAATTCATTATCGTTTCTAATTCGAGCTAAAAGTTATCCGCAAACGAGTCGCATACAAGACAACACAATACCGGTTTTGTTGTTTCGCACACAAATAACTCGGTTTGATGTTGCAAGCTGTAGTTGTTATGTTGTAAATAAACATATGAAGCTGTTAGCACAATGTTAAGCTACATTACATACCCACTTTACTGCTCTCTGGGTTACATTGCGCACATAGCACAGAGTTCGGATTTGGGACTGATAATGTTTGTCGATGTTCGAGCGTTGAGCAAGAAACTCGCAGTTACAACCTCTGGCGCAGTTCATCCGTTCGGTCGCAGGCCGCGGACGCATTTAAAGAAATTCAACGAATTTTGAGTGTACGTACATAAAAAAGGCTTTGATTTTAATTGTCATTAAAGCGATGTGTTTTTCGTTGTGGCTTCGGTGAAATAGAAAAAATAATAACAAAAATTACAGAAGTATGGCTTAAATGCAAATACATGCATACAACACACAACACTCACGCATACTAATGGACGCACACACACATGCACACAAGCACACACACTATCTAACTTTGTGAAGCAAACTAATTTAAAATAATAATTTCAAGTGTGATTTTGTATTTCAATGAACAACTTCAGATGTTGTTTGTGTGTGCGTGTAAGGTGTGTGCGTGTTTTAAGTAAACAATTTACAATTTTGTAGGCTCGATTAAAATATGGACTACATACACACACACAAAACCCTCACAGACACACACACACTGCATGTGGCTTACATTTTTGTTGTGTGTGGGTTAAAAGTGTGTTTGTAAATGCTTAACATGTATTTGTTGTATTTTATGCACTTGCTGACATTGATCGAGTTGTTCTAAATACCTCCAAATTGTAAATGTGCCTAAAAATATGTATTTTGCGATTTTTGTTACAACTTTTGTCATAAAACATAGCCCATACTTTTGAATATGTGGCAACGCCGTGATCGTAAGTGTGCTGAAAATAATCGATAGGTGGCGATCTACCTACCTACCTACATTAAAGTCGTTCGCGATAAAGTGGCATCATTGTTTACTCATCACTCACACACGCATGCATACATAGATGCGTGTGAGTGTATGTGAATATAGATAAATAGTTTTAACCGGTTAATATGAATAAATACCAATTGTCCAAGAATGGAATGAAAATATGCAGCGCAATGCAAAGTGATTTGTGAATCAATCTTCGTGTGAAAAGTATCTAAAATCATTACTCTTGAACCCCCACTACCCCCCCCCCCCACAAAAAAAAAAAACCGGGTTAAATTAGAATACGACAAAAGAAATTTGTCAAAAGGAAACAAATTAAGACGCACATATACAAATACAAATACACCGATGCGCGTTTTAAATGTGTGCATTGCATTATGTTATAATAGTTAAAATCACCAGTTAATGAAAATGCATAAATGTTAAAATTTTGTATCAGCAGCAACATACATACATGTATATGTGCTTGATGTTATCTCATTTAACATTTCTCATTACACGTGCCTCATTACCAATTTAAAGTGGAACTGGGTGTAAAAAGCAGCAAGTGATTCATGTTTCAGGGTGACAAAGACTTATTATTAATGGATTAAAGCTAACCACAAAAAAAAACCGTGCAAGACAAACGAAAGCCTGCAGCATTTTGGTCGATTCCAATTAAAAACGTGGTTTGCTTTTAATAAATAATAAATAAATAGAAATAATAAATAAAATAGTCCGTTTATATTCAGCGTCATATTTAAAATTGAAATTAATGAATACGTCTTCAGATTTCTTGGTTACGAAAAATATATATTTTTGAGTGCAACTGTGCTGATTGCCTTACTGGTGCCCAAGACACAACTTTAATGCTAACTGAATTTCCCTTGCAACAGCTTCCTAAAATAAACATATGTTGTTATATATATATTTGCGGATCATTCTCGCATCCCACAAGATTGACATTTATATATTTGATTAAGTATAATAGTTGCAAGATGTCTTTAAGTTACACCTGATAATTGTTTTTGCTTATTTGCCGCCAAATTTAAAGAGAAAGGAAGGAAGGAAATATTTGATCGAGAATTTATCCGATATGTGGTCTGCTTCTATCTGCTTATCTGCCGTTCATTTATTTAAAATATAGATGAAATAAAATTACTGATACTTTTGTTGCATGGATTGGGGAAACCGAAAAAAATCCAATCAGATTAAAAAATAGTTAGTATTAATTAGTTAAGCACCAAGGACTGTGAATTGTTTAAATAATAAGTCTATTATAATCATTATAAAGTTCTCGAAAAGGTTCATGCAATGAATAATTTGTTGTACAGCGATTAAGAGAAAGTGGGAAGAAGTAACGAAACGGTCTAGAAGGAACAAACAAAAATGTGTCCTGTGTCCCAAATGCTGAAAATTCGCCAGCAATCTCTGTTCGTTAATCGGCCTATATTTTAATAAATTGCCATACTTTTGACGCCAATGGTTAGTCATCAGATTATTCAGAAAATATATTTCTAAAATGTATGGTTGTGGCTTTCTAAAACTATGGTTTGCATTGTTAAATTTCAGGGTGGATGTTGTTGTGTTGTTTTGCATTTGTGTACTTTAAATGATTCTTATATTAGCGTTTTTGTTGTATTATTAATAAACATTAGTATTTTTAGACTTCACATATAAACACATATTTTACACAGTTTATAAAATGAATATTCTTAACTTTAAAGAACTTACTTTTTTATGGAGATTCAAACCCTTGGTTTGCGATTTTAATAACTTCACACTGAGCTACCGGCTTCTGAGGCAGACGACAGCTAAACACTAAATTGCATTATTATTTTCGGAATTTTAGAAAGGACTTTTTCCTAAAAATTAGGGTTTGTATTTCTTCATTGTAGAAATATATTTGTTAGCAATAATGGTAATAAAAATCAATATATAATATTTTCAGGATTGTCGATTTACGGCAAACCCTTCTAATTTATAGACGTTTTATTAAAGTTATTTATATTTAGAAACTATTTAATGGCGATTTACTAAAATGTAGAACGATTTTTTTTTGAGTGCGTGGAGTCTATGCCTACCAAGGAAAATTGCGGTCTACCATACATCTGGTGCCTCTTCCCAACTTGACTTTTCCAGATACGATTGATATGGGTAATCGTATGCATTCCATCAAAGCTCTGTTAGATCTGATTTTATTTTAATATTAATAAATACTTGCTAAAATTAATATATAATGTATAATGAACAGCAAATTCTAACACATTTTCAAAATTTACAAACTTTATTAATATAAACATAACTATTTTCCTAAAACTTTGTTTATGTGTGTTAACTGAAAAAACACGAAAAATGCGACAAAAACTTTTTGTCTCCAGTTTGCCATTATGGCCTTGTAGAGTGTATTTTAATTTTTAGTACAGACCACTATTATCGCTAAGCAGACAATGCAACCCCGCAAAAATTTCGACGCGTCTCAGCTTGGGCTCGCTGAGTTCCACGGTCTCTGAAAACCTGATGCATTTTTTTTTTTGTAGATTTGACTCTCTATGTGTTGTCTGCTTAGTGCTAGTATATAAATGCCATAAGAACAATCGACCAAAGGATAGGTTTTAATATAATGATAGGCGGACACATACAAGTCAGTAAATAACTATGCTCACAGCCAGATTCGATCAAAATAAAACATTTAAATAAATTTCTTTTAAACAAAAACATAATTTTTAAAAGTCCGGAGATGTCAGCAGGCTATCTCCAGTTTCACTCTTGTTTTCAGCTTCACAGTGAGAAGAAACTGGTGCCTCAATTTTAAAGCTAACTTTTTAAGTCATGGAATATATCGACCATAAGAACTTTCGGTTCTTAAATTAAGAACTTTTTTATTGTGGTTTTTTCACAGTCCATCGTCGAAAATCCATAGACTTCTGGGATATATTTTCGATACTTTCTGTGCCGTGTTTTGGTCAATTGTCGTGAAGCTATTTTCTTTGTTCGTTTATTAGATTTGTTCATTTTGTTATCTATGCTCGTTTGTTTCATTAAGTCTGTTAAAGCCTTAGCTCCAAGTTATTTAAGATTGTGCATATTAAGCAAATTAATATGTTGTAATATTTTTTCGTAAGTATTTGTGTCTTTATTTGCTTATCTCCTCTGACGATTTTCTTTGCATTCACTTATTTGCTCTATTTGTTTATTTGTGTTGGTTGTCAAAAAAATTGTTCATTTAAGCTAGCTACATGTGGCAAATGAATTTACAAAATTGTGGTTAAGCATCTTGGGAGTGATTTTGACTCATGCAGCGAGTTGTCAAGTCAACATAAATTTTCCATTTAACTCTAAATATTTAAATGTATTATTGTCCCTCCATCATTTTCTACAGTCAAGGCAACTCCCCTTAGTCTAGATGTTATCATTGTTTGCCCATTAATTAAATAATTGTTGAACCTACTCCTCTTTGCAAACGCTGACCTATCAGAGTGACTAACAAGGTATCAATAATATTACAAATCGCTTGCACCAAAAGCTATTCTTAATGTTATTGAAAGTGTTTGGGTCAGTCTTTGGTATCTTACATAGCTAGTAAATATTCTGCAAGCGTTATTAATTCTAAATTTATTTTTAAAACGAATGACCAAATTAGCCCTTACGTATACTCTTCCAGCTTGTAGTTCTGTTATAGTATTAATCCACCATAAAGCTTTTTCGCAGCTTAAAATTCTTGTCTAGTAAATACCATTTTGTGTTTTGTCATCTGAATTAACCTCTTTGTAATTTGATAACGAAGGTATCATAATATATTGGTTTTGTGCAAAGTCCGTCATGCTGTTTGTATGTGTGACCGCCAGTATAAAAAATTGGATGGCCACACCCACTCCGTCTCCCCAAACCGATACACCTCTTTGTGTAAATTGAAAAAAACTATACATCTCTATACATCTCATCACAATTTGAAAGCTAGAGTCACCAAATTTGAAAAGTATATTGCTAGTAATACCCTTCAAAAATCCGGAAGAATTGTCGACCACGCCCACTCCTGCCCCCATAATTTCCAAAAGCCCATATCTCCCGTAATTTAAGAGCTACAGTTACCAAACTTGGAAAAGAATTTACTACAAAACTTCCATACATTTTTTCGGCCACAACCCGACTGCAATTCTCTCTTGTTTTATTGAATTTTAATTGAATTTCGCCAATAAATGCGACGATGCAACAAATGGAGGAATAATTTTGAAATTAAATACCAGAAATTGTATAATTTGTTGTATTTTGAAGTTAAAAAGCATAAATATTAAATTTTATATTTCAATTAATTTATTCTATACTTTTTGTATTTTTCTGAATTATATTAGTCGACATTAAATAAATAAATATATTGAACTAGCCCATATTTCCAAATTAGATTCAG